TTGTCACCCGAATACGGGTGACGCGGCAGTGAACGTGTTAAATGCGTCGTACCATCTTACATAATATGATAAAAATGTCGTCGAGAAGAAGCTATAAATTCTCTAAATATCTGTACAATTTTAAACAACCGTACGCACGAAATTAATTTAACGTTCTCTACGCGAAATACGAAATCATGGTCGTCGCACGCGCGTAGGGTAGAATAGCGAGCGTAGAGCAGAATAGGGGACGACGTGTCAATATCCGACGTCGTCTTAGAAGTTTAGCAGTCGATCGAAGAGAGACTCGAGCAACGTGTCGGATCGTTGTATTCGCCGTGCGATCGGAGTGGACGGTATATTTGCTGGATCCGACGGAAATCAATGATCAGATGTAGTCGAGTCGAATGTTCGATAATTCTCCAATAGCAGCAGCAAGTGATACAGTGCCGCGTGTGGTCAGACGCGTTCGATAAGTAGTCGAACAAACATACGAGCGACAATATTCTACGAGCCGTTACGAAGCAAACACTCAAGGACAGCGTAGAATGGGTCAGTTTGCGGTCAGACACCCGATAACCACCGTCGGACCGTCCCACCCGGCAAAATCGGGCTTTCTGACAGTTTAAACGATTCGCTTTATTTTTCTACGAAAACTTCCGTCCGATCCGGACGACAGCCCGTCGACGATACAAAAAATAAAATAATGCGAACCGAGTTCAAATTGGCGTTAACTAAACCATTAGTCGGGATTGTTTTTCACCGAACTATTTTTCAAAGTGAATTTAGTTGATACTATTTTCAACGAAACGACTTTTAAACGTGAACTTAATTGAAACTGTTTCTAATTGAACTGTTTTCAGAATTTTCGGCTGTAACAATTTTTAACGAAGATAAAACTACATTTTTTAAAAAGAAAATTTAGTTCGAGAAGCGTAACAATTAAATTTAGTTGGAACTGTATTTAATTAAACTATTTTTAAACGTAAAATTTGAAACTATTTCTAATTGAACTATTTTTAAAATTAAATTTTGATTGAAACTATTTTTAGCGAAACTAACAGTAAATTTAGTTTTAGAATTATAACAATGAAATATAGTTAAAACTATATTTAACTAAATTATTTTGAGAACGAAATTTAGTCAAAACTATTTCTTCTCATCGTTGGCATCGTCCATATATTCGTAAACGAAATAAATACTTTGAAATATTATAAGCAATAAATTCATTTTCCAAACGCAGCCGTGAGCGGGGGTCTCCAAAAAAAGGAACATTTTCGGCGAATTTAACGTATGCCGATAAAATATATTCAGGCGATTGAAATATCGCACGGATTTACGAAAACGTTACTGAATTGTGACTGGTCGATGCCAGAGGACGGTATTTTGGATTAAAATTGTTTAAAGCGCAACAACGTTCGTAGTATTTATCGCTAGGTTCGATAACACTGTTCGACACGATTTTTGAGTTCATATAGCCACTATGAAATTCTTGTAGAGCTTCACTCCCTGAACAAGAATCCGAAAACCGAATTGCTCCTCAGTTTTTTAAATAAACGAACTTCTGTAAAAACCCAAAATTATCGACCAAAATGAGGTATTACATGGAAAGTACAAACGTTAGAAAGTTCTAATTGCTGTTAAAGGATAGAGGAGAGTTTCCCGAATACAGTGGCATGCGATTTATTAATTGTTTTTGGTCCTAAATAGCAATAAATTGATGTCAAAGTTTAGAAAAGTGTCGACGTGAGCAGTTTCTGCGCAATATTTTTGTATTTTTACGAAAAGTTTTTTGTTCGGCACGAAAACTCTACCCAGGATCGGATTCCGTAGACATTCCTGAAGAAGGAACGGCCCGGTAAAAGTGTCGGAACGATATACATTTCGAGTAGATCGAGAAAATGTTCGACGGCAACATGTACACGACGTTTTGCCGCCACGTGCTTCGCTGCTCGCTTCTCTCTGTCCGACAGGGCCGAAGCTATGGGTAATCAACACCGATGGAGGGATCCAATGGGGCACTCACTTAGCGTATTGGGCGTGCCATTTTTTTTAGTACTTCAATGTGCTGTCTTCTTTTACATATTTTTATGGATAATAATCACCAAACTGTGAATCATAAATTAAAAATGGAGAAATAATAAAAGAAAAATAATGAACAAAAAATATTCATTTTATTCTGAATTTGTTCGAATTACAAGTATATC